AGCAAGTAATTGCAAAGACTATGGCTTGTATCAGGTGCATCTTAGTCTCCAGACTGGCATCACTGCTCTTCAGTACTTTGGAGAGGTCTCTGACAGCAGACTTTCCCAGTGCAATTCATCTTTTAATTTCCTGGTTGCTGGTACCAAGAGTGTGCATTACATTATAATATATTAAATTATAATACACTACAAAATAATATATTAAATCAAATTACATTCTATTACAATATATCACATCACATTGCATCCAGGGGTAATCTGCTCTATTTGACTGCAATCAAACTACATTGCTATTCCATGACAGCAAGCAGACTAGTATTTGGTCAAACCAATGAGCATAATTTCACTGAAACCCAGAATAAAGTAATAGAAACCTAATCCCTTTGTGGTAGGAAACTAGTTTTCACCTTAAATATTCTGTAACAGTTTGAAAAGAACACTTGGTACTACCTTAAGCACTGAGCCAATTGGCAGCATCATGATAGATGAAGAAGAGATTGAGGTTGTTAACAATTTCAGCTTGCTTGACTCCACAATCAACACTCTTGGCACCAGGAGTCAGGAAATCAAAGAATGAATTGCTTTAGGAAAATCTGCTGTCAGGGAATCTCTCCAGAGTGTTGAAGAGCAAGCATGTTAGTCTGGAGACTAAGGTGCCCCTGATCTAGGTCATGATCTTCACAATTATTTGCTATGCATCAGAAAGCTGATCAAGTGATAAGGATGCCAGAAGAAGAATCAATGCCTTTGAGTTGTAGTGCTGGGGAACAGTATTGAACCTATCTTGGACTGCTGAGAGTACAAACAGGTCTGTCCTGGAGAAGGTGAAACCAAGTTGCGTCTTGGAGACAAGAATTCTGGAACGTTATCTCACATACTTTGAGCTTGGGGCCTGAAGGGGCCAGTACGTGGGAGAAATGCCTGAGTGGGGCCCGGGTGGTCTCCACCAGCACCAAAGGAGCTAGGAACAGACAGGTACCTAGGTCATCAGAAGAGTGAGCGGAAATGAGAGGCAGAACCCATCAGTGCCACCTGATGACTCACTCTGCCACTGTGACATTTGAGTCCATGATCCCTTTCAAAAGTAGGCACTCAGAGGTTCTGACGTCAGTGTCTGCATCCCTCAGGAGCTAGATTTTAAATCCCTGAGTCTAGACTCACAGAAACACCTGCATTTGTCTCCCGAGAGATGCAGGGGATAGTGTAAGCATTTTCTACTGCTCCACTTGTTCTTTGGGGGTCCCTATAGTTGTGAGGAGTAAGGAATTGGGGCTCAGACAAAGCTCCAGAGAGTGAAATGTGGTTGTGGATCCATCAAGACCTTAGGGCTTCTGGGAAATGAGACCACTGAGTCGGGGGGGGGGTGAGGGGAGGGCAGTCCCTGTCCAGTTCTCCATCTAAATGCTAGATGTAGTCTAATTATGGGGCGAGAGAAGAATGACCCAACAGCCTCACCAGAGGCCTGAAACCCCAGGGTTACCATCAAGGTAACAGAAAAAGTAAGACCTGCTTCACCTCCCGAACCTTGAGTCATTTTAGGAAGTCGGCACCCCATTTAATACCAAACTTCGTCTCACATATTTTGGGCATGTTGTTGCTAGGAAAGGCTATTCCTAGGAAAGGAATATTATGCTTGGAAAGATAGAGGGTCAGCGAAAGAGGAAGACCCCAACTAGATGGACAGACTGAAGCAATGGGTTCAAGTGTATCAGTGATGATGAGGATGGTGCCTGATAGGACAGGATTCAGGTCTGTTGTTGTTCCTGGGTCACTATGAGTTGTACTTAACTTGATGGCATCTAACAACAACAGCATCCCCATTTTTAAGTAAAATTGAGGGTAATGGGTCCTGGCAGAAGAGTCCCCCCCAACTCCAGCATCTTCCTGGTATGAGGGAGAAAACTGTTTAAAAGGGATATGTGATTAGGTATTTTTGTCATGACAGGAGTCCAGAAAAAAGACTGCATAGTGGAGTGGACCTGAGGAGAGGGATTGTAAAACAGTTTTCTCCCTCATCTGTTTCAGTGCAGTATACATTATTGAACCCATCTTACTCAGTCTCTCCTCAACCCCAACGTCAGTCCTGTTTTACAACAGTGGCACCATGCAGTATTTGTCCTTTTGTGACTGGGATACTTCACTCAGCATAATGTTCTCCAGAGTCAACGATTTTGAATAATATTGCATGAGTTCCTTGTTTTTCAATGCAGCATAGTATTCCATTGTGTGAATATACCACAGCTTCTCTATCCATTCGTTTGTTGATGGGCACTTAGGTTGGTTCCAACTCCTTGCTATTGTAAACAAAGCCGCAATAAACATGGGTGTGCATATATCTGCTTGGATGTCAGTTATGGTCTCTTCGGGGTATATTCCCAGTAGTGGAACTGCTGGGTCAAATGGTATCTCTATTTGCAACTTTTTGAGAAAGCGCCATACCGCCTTCCACAGTGGTTGCACCATTTTACACTCCCACCAACAGTGAATAAGGGTTCCTGTTTCTCCACAGCTTTGCCAGCATTTGTTGCTTGCAGGGATTGTAAAACAATGAAAGAATTTTTCTTTTACTTTTTCAAGAGGGTAGTGTACTAGGGGAGGGAAGAAAAATGCAACAATGAATGAATGGAAATCTAAAAAAAAAGTAATCCACAAGGGCACCAAACCGCATCCAGTGAATGACAGGTGCTTTATTTCCAGCCCTGCCCTTCCAGTGCCCCGCCCCGCCCCTTCAAAACCAGGCCCCGCCCCAAGCATCCGGGCCCGCCCCGGGCCCGCAGTGCGCGTGCGTGAGTTTAGGCTGCGACTTTGATGCGGCAGCAGCGCGCTGCTGTCCAGTCCATGCCCGAGCATTGGCAGTGACAGGTGGTCTCCGCACGCACGTCCCACGAGCCACAGGCAGAGCCACACGAGCAGGCAGATACGGCGAAACCTGTGGGTGGGAACGGGGTGAGAGATTTGGACCTAGAGCCATGAGGCTGGGAGTTAGGGATGAATGGCTGGAGGCATACATGGTGCCCTGGCCTCAAATGCACTGGGCCCTGGGATGCTGGTGGCTTGGGTCTTGGACACCAGTGACATAAGGAAATGGGTCGTGGGCCTAGAACAAGGGAGAAGGCTGACGATTCAGACACAGGGAGCCTAGGGAGGTAGAGACTTGGACTCCATGGTCCTGGATATGGGACAGAGAAATGTCCCAAGAGGCTTGGAAGACAGCTGAGAGCATGGGCACTAGCATTTCACACTTACCTGCGGGGCAGGTGGCCAAGTGTCCCCTGGAGGTAACGCTTCGGCAGTCCATGAGAATTCTCCCAACAGCCTCAAGAACTACAGGAGGGAGGGGTGGGTTTTAAAACCAAGCTGCCCTCCTGCTGACAACTGGAAGCAAGGAGTCAAGAAAACTGCCCCAGGGAAGGCCCAGGTACCTCAAGATATAGTGGACATCACAAGTGATGGCAGGATCTTGTGCCTCAAGTAAGGAGAGTTTGAAGGAGAGAGCTGAGATTGGGTTTGGGTAGGAGGTGGCATTTGGTTTGGAGCTGTGGTTAAAGGGATCCCCAGGTTGGGTTTAAGAGTTCCATATTGATGCAAAGAGTTAACTCAACTGAGCTTTTAACCCACAAAGATTGACTGCTCACGTCCACTGAAGTGCCTCAGAAGGAAGATTTGGTGATCTGTTCTGAAAACCAGGGACATCCTGCTGCGTCACCAGCAGCTGGCTGGCTGGCTTGGGTTTGGCTTTAGGGCTGGAGTTGGCATTGACGTGGGGCTGAGTTGAGATTGAGGAGAAGCGTGATTGGTGTTGAAGTGGCTGCCTAGGGCTTGAGATTGGGCTTGGCTAGGATTGAGCTTGAAGTTAAGATTTCACTGGGTTGGGGTGGCAGTCTGGTTGGATTTAAGGATGAGATTTAGTTGAGATTGGGGTGGGGTTGGAATTGTAACAAGGTGTGGAGATGAAGTTGTTGGGTTGAGATTTTGACTGGGTTGAGGTTGAGGTGTGTTTTGAAGTGGAAAGTGGATTAGAATCAAAGTCGTGGTTGGATTTGAAGGAAGGATTTTGTTGGGGTTGAGGTTGGGATCTGGTTATTTGTTTAGGGTTGGGTTCGAGCTTAAGGTTTGGGTTGGGGTTGAGGTTGGGATTTGGCTAGGGCTGGGATCAATCAGGCTGGCATTAGGAATCAGGGTGAGGGACTAGGGGCTTCTCACTCAGAGAGCTGGTTCCCTGCTGGATCCTCTTGTCAATGGCTTCATCCATGGAACACTGGGACTCTCCGAACACTAGCAGTCCCAAGGCAGGGAGGAGGAACAGGGGAAAAGCCTTCATCCTACAGATGCTGTCAGGGAGAAGCAGGAGACTCACCACTATGTCGACCCCCTCTTATCCTGGAGAAGGTCTGGATCCCTGCAGGCCTGGTGGTGGGAGGGCCAGCTCTGTTGTGACCCTGCCCTGGGGCTGTAGGCAGGAGCTGTCACTTACCCCTCTCTGTGCTCTCAGCAGACCAAATCTGGGACAAGATTTCTGTGAACTCTGCTATGCACAGCCTCCTCTTTTAAGGCTGTGGTGGGGAGCTTCCTGTCTTGGCAAATAAGTTCCTCAACCCCCTGGCACTCCCTTCCCACTTCCGGGCCAAGAGGAAGCCCCTGGAGTTGGCACAGGGGTCAGAAACTCAGCCTCTTTTGAGCCCCTCCTCCTCCTCTGAAGGGAGAGCTGTCCTGTCCCTTCCCACATCTGTCCTGGGGCTGGTCCAGGAGGAAGTCCACAGGGGATAATCCTAGGGGCTTGGGTCTAAGGGACAGATGGCAAACAGGAGTCCCATCCATGCAGGTGTGGGAGCTGCTTGCGTGGCAACAATAATTCCTCTGTGAGATCCCAGAACACCATCCATGGTAGCAGCAGACAAGAAATTAAAATACATTGACAAATCTACTTTCAAGGACAAAGTGTCAAAAGAGCAAAGGTGTTACTTTAAAAACTAAGGTCACCTGGCCTAAGCCCTGGTGTTTTCAGTTGCTTGATATGCTTGTGAAAGTTGGACAATGAATAAGAGAGACTAAAAAGACGTGATACCTTTTGAGTCATGACTGTTGCTGTTATGTGCCATCAAGTCACTTGCGACTCATAGCGACCTACAACAGCCCTAAACCCTGCTCTGTCCTGTGCCAGTCTCACTGTCTCCAACACATCCAATCCAATTACCCCAGTCACTGAATCAATCCACCTCATAGAGGGACTTCCCCTTTTGTGCTGTCCCTCCACCCTCCCAAGCATAACATCCCTCTCCAAGGACCTGTCCCTCCTTGCAACATGACCAAGTTCTGTCAGACGTAGCCTCAGAATCCTTGCCTCCAAGGAGCAGCCTGTTTTAACCCTCTCCAGGATGAATCTGTTTTCCTAGCAGTCCATGGTACCCTCAATACTCTTCTCCAGCACCACAGCTCAAAGGCATCAATTCTCCTTCTATCCTCCCTAGTCATTGTCCAGCTCTCTGATGATGATTGCAAAGACTATGACCTGTATCAGGTGCACCTAAGTCTCCAGAGTGACACCATTGCTCATCAGTACCCTGGAGAGGTTGCCTAACAGCAGACTTTCCCATCGCAATATGTCTTTTAATTTCCTGGCTGCTGGAAATTGAGTCGTGATCCTGACCGAGAATATTGAATATAACTTGGGCTAAATAAAGAACAAATTATCTTAGAAGAAATACAGGAGGGTGCTCCTTAGAAGCAAGGGGAGTGGAACCTTATCACACATACGTTAAGCTGCTAATGCTGTCAGGAGGGGGCAGTTTCTGGAGGAGAACAGCATGCTTAGTAAAGCAGGGGGCCAGTGGAAAAGAACCTCAAAGAGAGGGATTGATCCAGTGGCTGCAACATGGGCTAAACACAGCTGAGGTTGTGAGGGTGATAAAAATGCAACAGCACTTGCCAACAGTGTGGAATCCTATGCCATGTGTACCGTCAACATACATGTAAAAAGGAAACCTCAAAGTCATTGCCCTCTGCTGAGAACCACCCTATAACTGACCTCTAGCAGGTTTTAAGAGGCCATAAGTCAGAGGAAATAGGTCATCTCCCTCCTGAAGAGCAGCTGGTGAACTCAACTCACCTGTCTTTGAGTTGGCAGCACAATTTCTCACCCGCTAGGCCATCAGGTGGAAGATCTATCAACAATCTGCATTATGCAGATGATAAAACCCTGCTTGTGGAAAGTGAGGAGGACCTGAAACACCTGCTGCAGAGGGTCAAGGATTGCAGCCTCCAATAGGGATTGAGGCTCA